TCCACACTGGGGCAGGGGTGACCAGACTGGGCTGTCACCATGCCACATTCTTCCACAAAGGGGCTCCCACAGGCAGGCAGAGCAGGGAGAGCCTGTGGGGACAGCAGCTGCTGTTGGTATGTGGAGGTCACGGGGTACAATGCAAAGACCAGGCATGCCACCGAGACAGCTGGGCCACAGGGCAGGCAGGCGTAGGTGGGTGGCGGGCATCTCAAGGACAATGGCAAAAACCAGGGACAGTCTGGGGGGGGCCTCTGTGCCCCAAACAGGGAGGCAGATGACCAAGGGCTACAATACCAAAGCTGTCTGGTTGCTGGGACTGGGTCGTTGGAGGTGGCGAGAGCCAGGACCGAGACCCCCATGCCAGCTACCCACTGCCATAAAACTGATTCCAACAAGTTGATTCCAATTCAGTGTGACCCTTCAGGACAGTGCAGAACTGCCCAGAGGGCTTCCAAATCTGTAAATCTTTATGGGAAGTGGACTGCCTCATTTTTTCCTGTCAAGCCCAGAAAACAGCAAGAAAAATAATGAAGATGGTAGAGTCAGACAACCTGGGTTCAAATCCCAGCTCTGCCAGCACTAGGAGTTGGGTCTTGACAAGTGACTGCTCTTCGCTGATCCTCAGTGCTCTCATCTGGGGAATGGGTCTAATGTTAATCTCTTCTGTTTAAAGCTGACATAAGTACTAAGTCAGATGAAGGTCAAAGCACTCAGCAACAGTGCCTGGCCCACGGATTTCCTTTGTGCTCTCAGTTTGGTGAGCCCATGGTACAGGGGCTGAGTGGTGACCTCAGTGGGTGGCCCTGCTTCTCTCCGTCATTACCACTAACCCACAAGGATCCAGCCCAATGTTAGCATTGCCTCCAGGACCCAGCCCATGTCTACTGCAACTCAGCCAGCTCTCACCAAGCATTCACTGGAGGTAGGAAGCTACTCCACGGAAGATGAGTATCTGGGACTGCACAGCAGCTGCTCCCAAGATGCTATGCGGGAGAGGCCAAAAAACTGAGGAGGAGATGGGAGTAGAACATGAAACTAGAAGAGTAACCAGTCATAACCACACACCCTCAACCTTGAGGTAGCGGGGAGCCACCAACGTTTCTAGAGAACATGCAGGTCATTATTGGAATTGGGCCTGGGGGAAGGGTGGGGTGAGAGACTGTGAAGGGTGGGGGTGGATAGGCCAGAGAAGGGAGGACCAAAATCAACTAGGGGTTGGAGCTGTGATAGGACTTGGAGAAATGGATATGCAAGACAGTTTCGGGGCAGAATAAACAGACGTTGTCGCCAGTGGGGTAGAATCAAAGAGAGCTGAGGATTCGGGTCCGGGTGCCTAAGAGGATAGTGATATCATCCATGGGAAAAGGATAGGAACAGGGAGAAAATAAACTCATCTCCACGTGTCACTTCTATCCTGTCTCCCTGGACATGGGTGCCTGGCCAGTGGACTGGAATACTAGCTGACATTAACTGAGCACTTACTGCATACCCAGCAGTATCCTAGCACTTTCCAAGAATGAATGACTCTTTCAACCTCATAAGGAGGGTCACCACTATTCCCATACCCCAGATGAGAAATCAGAGGCACAGAGCGCTGCCATTACTTGCCCAAGTCACACTCTGGGCCCAGTGGGTGTCCAGCAGTGCTGCTGACCCATCTCGGCTGGGCACAGGGCCCCTGTCCACTCAACTCTCACTTTTAAAGCAATTGCTGGAAAAACCACCTCCCTGCTTGGCGGCGTTCACTGATGCCCGGGGGCCCTGACAGGAGGAGATAGGCAGTATCACTTGGTGACAGAGTCCATCAGCCACCTGGCTTTGAGCTGGCAGGGTCCGGTGTGCCTTTGTTCTTTCGGGAGACAGCTGACTTCACCACCCCACTTAGAGGGACATTCCACGAGTTGGCCAGATAGACCAGCTTATGTTCCTCTAGTCCTCGCAGGGCTGTGCTCCAAGTACCGTCTGCCACCAGATTAACTCTGCACTCGACACTGCTAAGAGCACAAGAGTGCATCTGAGCTACTGGACATTTTAGAATGTGGTCACAATGAGGACCAACTTGCCTCAAAGCACAGCACATCTGTAGATCTTGTGTCTAGCTTTTCATTTCCTTCTCCTTATCCTTCTCTTCAAACGCTCAATGGGTAATTTTTTTTTAACCATCATTAAGTGAAATTGACTTTTTGGAGCGCACAGTTCAATGAATTTTAACACGTGTACATTTAATTGTTGCGATTACTATTGCTTAGCACCTAAGTCCAAGTCCCAGAACCTATGCGAATGTCACCCCACCTGACCAAAGGGGCTTGGCAGATGTGATTAAGGACCTTGAGGTAGGGCGATTAGTCTCAATGATCCCAGAGGGCCAGTCCTTGAAAGGGCCCCTGTAACATGGACGAGGAGACGCTGGCGCCAGAGGCCTCCAACCACCGAAGGCAGGAGCGAGGAACATGTTTTTCGTTTTCCCAACCCCTTGTTCTTGTTGAGAAGTGTCCTCCAGTCCATTCGACTCACGGCACGCTCTGCACAACCTTAGAAAACCCTGCCCAGTCCGGTGCCCATCCTCACAACGATGGCTGAGCCCCTGGTGGCGGCCAATCCACCTCCTGGAGGGTCTGTTCACTGACCCTCCACTTTACCCTTTGACCTCCATCACCGCTGCAAAGTGCCAATTTGAACTCACAGTGACCCTACAGGGCAAGGGAGATCTGTTCCCCCCCGCCCCCCCCACCAGGGCATTGGAGGCTGAAAACCCACTGAAGCTGATGGAGACGTCTTTGCTCCTTCTGATTGAGTGGTGGGCTCACACTGCCCACCCTCGTAGTTAGCAGCCCAACCCTTGACCCATGTGTGCCACCAGGGATGTTTAGCTGACCTCTTGGATTGCAAAATAATACATCTGTGGTGTTTTAAAGCCTCCGAATACGTGGTCCTGTATTACAGGGACAGTCAGAGCCGGATATACTCGACTTATTTTCTGGTTGTTCTAGAAGTCTGGATTTGCTTTGTTTCAGGCTTCCAAGCCCTTTCGGCGGGGAGGTTTTTGTTTTATCTTTTCTTTGCTTCAGTACAGCGGGACTCGGGTTGCCAAAAATCGTCTTAGGCGTAGGAGGCCTGCTGGGGGGATAAAGCAGGTGCTCTGGGCCCTGCCTGCGATAAACAATGGCTGCCCATCGGAAGCCCCTAGGGGAGCGTTTTCATCCCGCTTGCCCACGGCTGGCCCCTCTCCCCAGAAGCTCACACTGAAATATATTTCCCCCGGACGTCCACACCCGTGACTGTTGGGTCCTTCAGATACATGGTGATCCCAGGGTACCCCGGGGAACCGTACTCCGTAGGGTTTTCAATGGCTCCCTTGTTGGAAATTCACCACCAGGCCTTTCTTCCAAGGCACTGTGGGTGGCCTCACACTGGGCATGGTCATCGGCGGGCAGCGCTAGCGCAGTAACCTTCACATCACCATGTGTTCTGCTTTGCACACGAAAAACGGAGGCTCTGAATGATCACTGCCCGGCCAGAGGCTCCACCTCCTTATTGAGCCCCTACCCACTTCCTGGAGCCGTGCTCCCCCAGCCCCAGTGGAACAAAGTCTCCTTTCGGAAGTCCCACCCCCTAAGCGTGTCATTCAGGGACCCACTTATATGCCCTACCCCCATCTTAGTCCCAGAACCTTTCAGGGGACCGGGGTATGGTCGCTCACCACCCTCCATATGCAAAGCCATTGTGCCTGCAACAACCTTTTCTGTTTAGTGGTTTGTAGCTGTAGTTTGACCACTCACTTGAGTGTTAGCGAAAACCCACGGTGTGCCCATTAACCAGGGAAACACACATGCTTGTGGGTTCAGAAAAACTCCGTTTGGTTTGTGCATCTGTGCATGTGAGCACAAATGTGTGTGTGTGTGTGTGTGTGTGTGTGTGTGTGTGTGTGTGTACGTGCATGCATACGTTTGAGTGCATGGGCAGGAAAAGACAGCTTTTCAGAAAATTTTGGAAATACAATTTTCCTTATTAAAGATTCAGGATAAGAGGTGCCTGGCCAATTCTGACTATTGCTCATGTACTTCCGGCAGAATTGTGCCCCATGGGTGTCAATGGCTCTCTCTCCTCCATAGAAGTTGCCAGCCCTTTCCTCCAAGATGCTTCTGAGGGACCTTAAACCACCCACTTTTTGGTCAGCAGGTGACTCATCTAAAGGTGGTCTGGGGGCACAGTGAGGCGCTGGACTGCTAACCGCTAGGTGGGTGGTGCAAACCCACCAGCCCCTCCAGGGCTCCAGTAAAGATTTCCAGCCTTGGAAAGTCCTCAAGAGCAGTTCTACTCTGCCCTGCAGGGTTGTTAGGTGTGGGACTCAGCAGTGGGTGGATTAGCTGCCTCTCTAGCCATGCCTCCCTCCAGCCTACTGCCTTGTTCCTGTAGAGAAATGGCACAGTGTGAGCTTGGAGGGCAGCAGAGAGGCTGTGAAAGTGTTGTGGGGTGGTGGTCAAGAGGCTTCACCCCCAAAGTGGCATTTGAGCAAAGGCCTGCCAGGAGGAATGGAGGGAGTGTATGGACCAACTGGGGATAGCACTCCAAGTTGAAGGGACAGGGGTGCAAAGGCCTGGGGTCGCCACAGCGCGCAGGGCCCTGCACCTCTCCTTGACATTTTCCATCCCCAAACTGACAAGCACAAGTGTGGCTCGGCGCTGCCAGGAGCCTGCAGCATCTCTCCCTGAAACCTAGCAGCAGCCTTTTTGACCTTGAGTGCCTTCTCGGGTCTCACGTGTCACCCAGCAATGAGTGAGCTGCCATTATTTCAGAAGAAAGGCATGGGGTGTGTGTGGGGGG